ACGTGTGCGTGGAGCGGCCGCACTGCCCAGCAGGCCCGGTCCTAGCCCGGTCCCGACAGAAACGAAGCCCTACGTTCACGCGGAAACCTGTTGGCGAACATTTATAGGGGCTGTTTTCATAATTGCCTAAAAGTGGAAGGAACCCGAACACCCCTCAACCGGGAATGAGTGCGCGGAGGGTGGTGCCGCCAGCCGGGGGATATCGTGGGGCCGAGGGTTACGTGTTCGAAACAGGACACACCGCCGGCCTCCAGGCCACCGTCAGGGCTCTGCGCGCAGTGGGGCTGCGTCCGCGTGATCCCATTTGGACGAGGTTATGAGAAAGGCGAGGCGAGTGGCGCCAGGGCCTGCGGGGGGCGTAGGTGGCTGCACCGGGCACGGGGAGCCGGGGGTGATGGAAACGGTCTACGCCTTCACCTCGGCGGCGTTTCCACGCCTGCGTGCGTTTGTCCAAACGTCTGACTCTCTGTTCAACGGGCTTCTCTGCCTGTATGCAAATGGTGCCTTAATAAACCTGACTTTTAAACAAAGCAGCTTGCTGTAAAAATATTCCATCAATCAGACTTTCCATTTATTCCATTAATTCAGTAAGACTCCCTTTCGCCGCGATTAATATACCGAAGGCTCGCTTTTATTAACCTCGCTCCTCATGACTATGGATGTAGGAAACGCCTCGTTCATCCGAGGGCTGGGGCTGGACCCGTGCTCAGGAGGCGCTAACGAGGAACGCGTCCTGAGCTCTCCTCCCGCGTCCTGAGCTCTCCTCCGGCCGCCCGGCTCGGCCACCCTGGCGGAGCTGATGGTGAGGCCCGAGTGGAGCCTTCAAGAGCCGGAGACGGGAAAACTCAGGTGGCCGGGGAAGGGCAGGCAGGTAAGAGGTGGGCCAGGGCCCCGGAAGACACGCCCGTCCAGGGGGACGCCGAGGCTCCGCTTACTGTAGGGCGATGGCACCCCACGGAAAGCGCACCCAAGGTCGGCCCAGCACCCGCACTCTTAAGGGAAGCTGTAAATTCTGATTTTTGTACTTGAATTCTCCCCGTATTCGGAGCCCATTTTTTTCATTTGTTTTAAAGCACCGTGTGGATAAAGCAACACTTGTCTGCCAGTCGTGATGGGTCCAAGCTTCCGAGAAGAGCGGCAGACAGAGGGCATGGGGACCAGCCGGAGTGTGGAGGTTTCAGAGAGGGGCTTCCGAGAGGCTGGGCCCCCGAGACGCTGCAGCGTGGCCGGGAGCCTCAACCTGAGAGACAGGGAGGGACCGGGGAGGGGGGCACGTGCTCCCGGGCGACGGGTACCAGGCACGTGTCCCGAAAGTATGCAGAGGACGAGGCGTGGTTGTCCTCTCCGGGTGGCCGCGTGCACTTGGGGGCCAAGAAGGACCCGTCACCCTCACAACCTCCCCCCACGCACGACACCCGCCCCACGCCCAGGTCCCTTCTCAGACATTCAAAGTCCCCGACGCTTGACAAGCCAAAGGTTGGTTTGTTTTCAACTCATTGGGTTCCCAAGGCTGACCCGCAGGGAAAGGAGGCTGTTTTGGGGTTTACCTTCATTGATGTGAATCCTCGTAAGTTTCATGCAAAACTACCTTAGGCCTGCAACTGACAGGCCCAGCTCCAGACCCGCCTGGGGTGTTACGCAACAGGCGTGTGCCCCTGTGCCCCTCCCCGCCTCCCTACCCGCCTGCCTGTCTCGCCCTTCAGACATCTCAATAATTCTGACTCTGCAGACACATCTGGCCCCGCAGGTTTCAGAAAAGAGACTGTGGTCCCAAATGACCTTCCCCGGGGCCCCTATGGGACGAGCGGCCCCCGTTACACCTCGGACAGCATCTCGGCCCAACGCCAGCTTCCCCCGTTTCCCTGGGGCTCCCTCCTCAACCCCGACCTCAAGGACACAACCTCCCCTCCCCGCCTCTCCCCGTCTTAGCTCCTAGGAGGGCTCCCCGGCACGAACCCTCCCAAGAACGGCGTCCATGCCGAGAGCCGATGAGTTACAGGGCCTCTAAACGCGCAGTCAAATATAAACATGCAGTTGGTATTAAAAACTGATCAGCGGTTTCAGCGATTCCAGAAATTAGCAGTTAAATCCTCAGGCAGGAAGGGTCAGGATGACTTTGTTGTTGTTTCCTTAGGACAGCACAAATTTAAACAAGTGCCAGACAGCTTCCCTTCCCTTTCCTACGGAGCAAACGTCTCCTTGGCGCAGGGTCAGAGTGGGGATGGGCTTCGGCTCCGGGCCCCGAGAAAGAAACTGGAAAATATTTTGCAGAGTCGCAGGCTTGCAGGGCCCCAACCACGTGGTGACAACTGTCAAGCAAAAAGCAAGGGGAGGCGGCCCCACCAGGTCACGGTTGCCCTAAGCCAGCGCGAGGGGCGGCTTTGGGGTCAGGGCGACGCGTCCCCTGGGCCCCCTCACTTCTCGCCCCAGCCCTTGCCCCAGCCTCGCTTCCAACCCAAGTGCTGCCTCTGGCCCTTCTACCTGAACATCGGTAACAGATACGACTCTAGATCAAAAATAAAGCCCCTACGTGGGGGAAAAAAGGTACGTGAGCTTCAATTTTTTTTTTTAATTCTCACACACAGATTTTTTTTTTCCCATTGCTTTTCAGGGGGAGTGGAAGGGGGAGAGAGGGACAGAGAGACCCCTCGATGTGACAGAGCCGGGCCGGGGGTCAAAGCTGCACCCCAGGTGCCTGCCCTGACCCGGAGCCCGCCGAGACCTCCTGGTTCATGGGTCCACGTCCCACCACTGAGCCGCGCCGGCCGGGCGGAGCTTTCATTTGTAAAAGTCCAAAACTTCCTTTAAAAAGCACCTTCAGCATTCAGAGCTCTCTCCTGACCAGACTCCCACCCAGAGGTGGGGAGGGACCCTGACGGGCCTCGCCCCCCCACCCCGCTCAGCGCGAACCC